TTTATTTGTTTGTTTATTTATTTCTCTTTTTTTCTTCCTTACTCTATATTAGTTTGTATTAGTTTTTACCTTTGCTTTTCAAACTTTTAATAAAATTATATTTAAAAAAGAGAGAGAGAGAAGAAGAGGCCGACCAGCAGCAAGGCGGAGGGACTCAGTTATAGCGGTGATGGGGGCACCGTTGGAAGAGCTGAAGGACAGGCTGAGGATTGGAAAAGGTCTATCTATGTGGGCACTAAGAGTCAACAGTAACTGGATGGCGCATAATCAATCAATCAACGTCAAGACCAAGTTTCCTTGAGAAGTCCATAATGCTGGGAAAAGTAGAAGGAAAGAGAAGAGGACGACCAGCAGCAAGGAGGAGGGACTCAGTTACAGGGGGGATGGGGGCACCGTCGGGAGACCTGAAGGACCAGCTTAGGGACAGATCCTCACGGAGGAAATCTACCTATGTGGTCACTAAGAGTCAACACTGACTCAATGGCACATAATCAATCCATCAACCAATGGGGAAACTCAGCCTGTCTGCAGAGTTTATGATTCAGCATATTGTATGACAGAAACAGAATTATTCTGAAACAGAATAATTCAGTAACCAGGGGAAATACCCTATCAGTGTTGTCCAAACTTGGCCACTTTAAGATGAGTGGGCTTCAATTCCCAGAATTCTCCAGCCAGCCATGGTGGCTGGGGAATTCTGGGAGTTGAAGTCCACTCATCTTAAAGTGGCCAAGTTTGGACAACAGTGCCTTAGGGGATTCCCCCAAAGATAGGAGTGTGTGTGGGGTGTCTATGTGTCAAAATAGTCAAGATGGCTGTGAAATTGAAGCCCAAAAGGTGCAGGTCTTCCTTTGCATGATTGTGGTCACCATCTTGACTACTTTCACACACACACACACACACACACCCCTCCTGGTTGATGCCCTGCCCAAGCTCTTGGAAGGTTCCTGGAGCAACAGCCTGCTCTTCTGGCACCCTTGGCTTAATGCACACGGAGCTGCATTTGCTGAGGCCCGCTTTCTGGAATCAACCACAGCTGTCAGGATTCACCTTTCACACTAAGCCATAAACCACAGTCCACAACCCACAATGGCTGGGTTCACACAACATGCTGTGCCAAAGCCAAGCCAACCACAGTCTGGGGCGTGCGCACCCCGCTGTCCTCAGCCTGCTCTGCTGCTGCAATGGCCTTGGGAGAGCCAAACCTGGCCGGGTCTCTTCTGCTCCCCTCGTGCGTTCGGAAGCAAAAGCACCCGGGGGGCTTTGCCAGCCCCGTGGCCGTGACCAACCTCCTGGGCTACGGGGCTGGGAGGGATGAAAGGAAGCCGGGACGCGATTAAATCGCCCAGGGCTTCCCTTTAAGCTCCAGAACTGGAAAAGCAGCTTTGGCCCGCGAGCAACAGAACCTGCCCAAAAGCCGAGAAATTTGGTCCGTGGTGAGCAGTTTGTTAGGTGGTCCCAGCAAACAGGCTTGGCTTTCGCTTTACTTTCCTGTTTGAGCGGCTGGATGCTAAATGAAAACATGACATTTTAAAAATCAACCCTCCTGCGGGTCCTTATCGAGCACCCACGACACAGTCAATTACAGGCTGCGTGGGAAAATCCACGTGGGAGTTATCTCAGCACTGATCAAAGGGCTGCAAAATCCAAACGGCCGCTTGTTTATAACAACTCCCTAACTTTCCCCCTTCCACTGGTACCAGGGCTGTGCTTCCTCAAGCAGATGCTGCCAGATGCTGGGCTGGGAATTATGGGAGGAATTGTGGGAGCTGTAATCTGACACCCCTGGGGCACCAGGTGGGGCAATCCGCCTATGATGACTGGCATCCATGGCACCTGGAAGAAGCACAGGGGCAACCCACGTGCTCCGGTGTCATCAGCTGGGGGGTTCTCGGAGTTGAGGTTCAGCACGTCTGGTGGACCCCAGGCTGGGGGAGGCTGAACCAAACCACTCCCCTGCCCCACGTGGCTCAGGGTCAAGAGGGGGAAGATGCCACCTTAATTCAAAGACCTCAATCTCTCTCCTCTGCCGAGCACCCCATTCTCTCCCTCTGCTCCCCCGAACACATAACCCTGTGGCATTAATGCTCCACCCCTCTTTGAACCACAGGAACAAAATCGTCTCCAGGTGTTAAAAAGCAAGCTCGCCGTTTTATGCTCCCCCGGTGAGGCTTTCTCTGGATATTTATTTGCTTGGTTGCTTGCTTGCTCTTCACCCAGGTTTAATTCCCACCCCCTCACTGGGATCAAACTTCCAGAGGCGTAACAGCCTTCTTTATTCATCTCTTTTTACTCTTGTCTCCTTTCTACGGCCCGCTGCCCTCCTGGAAATGTCAAGATCCTCAGGGCGGCTCTGGAATCAGTGGCGTTTCTGCAGGTCCCTGCTAAGGAGACACACCAGGAGAACAACAGCAGGTTGTTTCTTCGCGCAGGCGACAGGCGCCTCTGCAGAGGCCAGGATCCAACCCAGCAGGGCAGGCCTAAATCCAGCCGGAAGGCAGAACATGGGGAGCAGAGGCTGACAGCCCCCAGCTAAAGGTTTTCGAGACTCGGTTCTGCAAATTTCAGGAGGCTGGCCAAACGGAAACGGGACCCCGCCAAATGGATGCAGAGGTGGGCTTGCGGGCTTTATCCTCCCATTCTTATCCCCACTTCTGCAGCATCCTTTCCTTCTGGGTCTCCCCCTCCTTCCTGTAACGCCAAGCTAAGCCACGGGCAGGGCAAGGACTTTTCCAGGTATTGCGCACCCCTGCTAATATCTGCCTTGAGTGAGAACTCAAGGTATTAACTGATTAATCAACCCG